TAACAGGTAGTCTGTACTATCGCACTGGTTTGTTACTCCAACAGATAGGTCTTCGACTTTCGTGGCTCGCTCCTTGATCGGTGGGGTGAGGGAAATCGGAATGATTCGGCCGTTGGAGCCGGAAAAAGATACACCCGGAATGAAGTTTCGACTAGTGTATGTGCGAGAGAGCTATTTCAAATGCAAGTGTCGTTGTCCACATGCCCAAAAAAAGAAAGGTGTTACTCATTTCGGCAGAAGGGGAGAGCCGTAATAAATCTTTCGCTGGATCGGAGAAAGTACATCGTCATCTTGGCACTTTCCTGGCACACGACCACCCGGTAAGTATCTTTCCACGCCACTCGGCCCTTCCCCTTTTAGGTCGTGCGCGGATGAATCTCTAACTCGAGCTCGAAAATATACACTGATGCCCTGCCAGGCGCAGAGAGAGATAGAGAGAGGTGAGTCCTAACGCTAGTATGAGTAAGAATTGGAATGAAACTGTCACTAAATAACGACCAGATATATGGTGCCTCGAAATCATTCCGCGCTTGGGCGGAACCCCTATCTGTCGGATCTTGAGATTTACCCCCTAACCTCAAATTCCAAGTACACCATCAGATTCGCCCATCATCGAAGCCTCCAAACAATAGATTTACTTCTTGCAAATGGTCGAAAAACGGTCGAGCACGCTTCACCTTTTCCCCCACACTATTTTTTCGAACTCTTTTTCCCTACTTACCAATCATCAGACCTAACTTCACCAATGAGGTCGCCGTTGCCGAAAACCTAGTCTAATATTTTAAAACTCTAAAAACGGTTGTGAGGCGACCGAGTTACCACATTTTCACTCTTCACTTTCCTTGCTTTCCGCCATCTCTTCATGCACGACTTTTTCCCCCTACTTATCCATACACTAACTTCCTTCTAAATCTGACCTCATCATCAGCTTCGCCTCACTCAAAAAACCCAATTTTTTTTCTTACCGCTCTCGATTCCGCTAAGGAATGGGCTATCTGTCCTACTCCCACTCCACAACGCTCCCTTCTGTCTCCGCCATCTTCATCTCCACCTCTGAATGCACCCAGCTCGCCGGCCCTGATGTAAGTCCTGGTTCACTCACTTTCTTCTCATTGTTGATTTTTCGTCACTTCCTCGCTCCTTCTCCCTTCTCGTTAGGCCACATACTAGCACATGCACTGCAAGGCCGCTAGCTAATAAGGACGGCAAGCGGTAGTCTTCGAGGATTGAGATCTGCTATGGAGCATCAAACCGCTACTCGCCCACCAAGCCACTCTATTGTGGCAGCAGGTAGCGCTGATGTGCCTGGCCCACACTCAGCACTCGGGCGATTCCCGATACTTCATCACCAGGAGGGTTGAGCTCCTGCGCTCAGGTTTGTAGCATAGGCTTACGTAAAACGGCCCCCGACACCGATCTTGGTGGTATTAGAGTGCAACCTCCTGGAACTCCAAAGATCGAGATAGAGAGAGGTCCCATGGAAGTAGCCCGCCGTGACGAGCTCCCCACAGTCTCCCGCTCCGCTGCCTGCTTTGCAGATGCTAGCTAGTGCTAACCTAGACATCACAAAGTGTGTTGACTGATACCGGCGGCAGGACAGTATCTACAAATGTTGAAATCCTCCAAGGAGTAGTATCAACTCTCCTGCCGGGTCCGAACAGATGGTGCTGCAGTGCCAGGGCTATGCCAGACCTGCATAACTTCGTCTCTCCAATGAGCCGAAGGACGCAGACCTGCCGCATGGCCTGCTGCGTGATGTTGGTGACGTGGGCCCTGGTGCAACTCTCGGCAGTAGTAACAAATATTCAACTGAGGACTTTGAAGGCCAAGGTGGGAAAGGTCCTGTCGGGCCAGGTGGGTACTCGGCTTAGCCGCGCGCCTCCCCACTGTGTCTAGGGTTACTGCCTGCCTTCCTCTGGCCCCGATGGTCATGCCTACTCAAGTCCCCTGCGACAGTCAACAGTTGGCGGACGACACTTCCGCAGAAGGTCCCCACCACTGAGATTTTTCTGCCTCGCAGGTAAATCACCCACCGACTCGCGTGGAGGTCGAACTCCTCGGTCCGCGTTTCAAGACAAGTAGGATGGAGGAATTTTGTCGGCGTTGTCGAGCGAATTGGTCCTACGCAGGGCGAGACCCTACTGACCGCGTTACGCAGGACTTGGTTTAATCCTCGTCGTGATACACATGGAGCTTTCGCAAGCCGCTCCGACCGAGTGCGCCAGCCATACCTCTTGCGAGCCCCTACAACGGGATAGGGCCAACGCGAGGTACAACTTACCTCCACCTTCGGTTGTCACCTCCCTTTGGTGGGCGTAGCCCCGCCGAGCCACCAGTCCACAATACAAAAGTTAATCAGTTGCAATCGTAGAGGTGGACCAGCCGAGGGCGTTTCTCGTTCGTTGTAGCATAGAGGGTACGCGCGGTCTTACGCCTCTATCGAACCCGCACGCCAATCGACGCACTGGGGGTTGAAGTCCTAAGCGCGACTCGTCGTCGGTCGACTAGGATGCATCCACATACTTAGCGTTACACCACAACACTCACACACACGGAACAACACAAAACAAACAACACAACAACACTCCTAGTCCTTTTTGTATCTAACCCATAACCTTTCGACACGAAAAATGGGATTGGCGATACGTACGAGACTTAGTATAAAATTGCATGGATGTAGGGCCTTCACCTATCGACGAGTAATGCATGTATACGCAAGCAGTCGCAGTAATGGCGTATTATGTAGTACGCATAATCATTCGGTCCTCGTTAATCTCGAGGGTCGCTTTCGACGCTCAAATATCGGTTGACTCCCTTGCTAAAAAGAACAAACTAAGACCAATTGCTTGAGTAAAAACTGTTTGAAAAATATTGTAAGAGGTGAAATTTTCCAACCTAACATGGGAAACCGAGTTTAATAATTTTTTTATGAGTTATGCAAACAAAGTTTAACAGTCATTTCGTCAAAACGGACATATTATATTTTTTGAACGAAATGAAAACTGATTTTTTTTGCCAAAATCCGGTCGAAATTTTTTGCTCTAGGGGGTCCGGCGTTCCCAAAACGCCGGACCCCCCTGGTCTATGGTTGAGACCAGTTACAAAAAAAAAAAAAAAAATTATGATAATAAAAAAAAATTGTATCTGGTCTCAACCATAGACCAGGGGGGTCCGGCGTTTTGGGAATGCCGGACCCCCAGAATAAAAAAATTTCGACCAGATTTTGACAAAAAAAAATCAGTTTTGATTTCGTTCAAAAAATATAATATGTCCGTTTTGACGAAATGGCTGTTGTTTGATCATGAATTTAACATCGAATTAAAATCAATCGAGATGAAGAGAAAATTTTGAAAATTCAAATAGAGAAACAAAATAGGGCATCGATTCTGATGTCCAAAAGGACTTACGACTCCAATTTTCAAAACCCCAAGGTTCAAAAAATCGCTCAAACATTACATCAGGAAATTTTAGGCAGAAAAACAATTCGACAATCAATTGTGGATGAGAGGACTATAATGATTATAAAAACAGATCGTGAAATCAAGGAGAAAAATTATGAACTACCGATTGAGATCAACTAAGAACTCATAATTGTCATCCAAGAATTTTCTAAGAAATTCCCATGTCAGGAACTTAAAACCCAACCACAACAAAAATAGGTCATGCCTCAAGAGTTACTAAAGATTTCATCACTGCGTGAAGCCGCCTTAAAACACTTGAAGTCTCAGTCCGTGCAATCCACCACGAAGCGCTCCACTCTCGCAGTCCCTTGATCCAGCTGCCCCGCCGCTGTAGAGTCCAAACTCAGCCCTTGCCACTTCCTGCGGGAGGAATACGTTCGCCTCCCGAGTCTTGATAACCTGTGCTAATATAGCCCCTCTGCAAGCTGCATTAACTTGAAGAGATTTGGTAGGACGCAATCACCTCGTTATCGATGCCCAGATGCGATTGCGTTGTGAGTAACCACGTTGAGCTTGTTGACGCGACCTCACAGAGAGTTCAGTCCTTGCCCAACGATGTGGAGGCCACTAAATCAAGAAAAAGGAGAGACGGAGTAAAAGGGCAAGTATAGGAAATCCCCCACCATCGAGCCCGCACTCGCCCTACCCACCTTCTCCTTGGTACAATCTTCATTCCACTCCACTGCAACAGACAACCTTCCATCGCACGTCCTCCTCCCACCTGGCCTCCACGAAATCTCAAACGCATGTTATCACACACCATCACCATTTTGCCCATCATACTAGTTCACAAAACTTTGTTCACGTTTCGCTCCACACTTGCCACGCCGTGCTGCGTCGTGTTCCTGCTGTAGGGGCAGAAACCCTGACAAGGGTATGTACCCGGTGTTTATAAATGTCGGATGATGTTCGACTTAGTAAAGGGTTATTCGGGCTTCATAACTTATTGAGATGGGTTATCTGCAAGAAGTTTATTCAAACTCGATTTTTAACTTAGAGACTAAAACTTATTGAACCTAAGACTTGATGCCTGGAGAATATGAAAATTGGTGGCTAGAACTGGCGGCGTGACCGGGTTCTTCCCATGTTTGGTAAGGCCGCACGGATATACGGTCGTAGGAATATATATATATATATATATATATGAACTTCACCATAGACCGACCGAAGCATTTCAATAAAGATGCCAGTATTGAATCTAATTCATAGTTTAAGTGTTATGCATTTATGTAATAGTGAAGGTTATCCGATTCATAAGGCTGCATGGTCTGTATTGAATGATGAACAAATTATGAATATTTTTTCTAATTTATGGAGAAACATACTTTTTAATTATAGTGGATGTTCGTAAAACAACTTTAATAATATTTCGAGAATTTCGCTTTGCCAAATATCAAGCTTTAGCTTCTATTCAGTATGGATTTTTTTTGCTACTACTGCCTTGGATAGTTACTCTTCTTTTTATATATTTTTTTTTAGAGCATTCGATGAACAGTTGTCAATTCCTTTAAGTTTCAGCCTTGCGACCATACTCCCCCCGGAACCCGTAAACTTTGATTTCTCACAAGGTGCTGGCAGAGTCATCCAATAGACATCCGCCAATCCCTAGTCGGCATCGTTTATGGTTGAGACTAGGACGGTATCTGATCGTCTTCGATCCCCCAACTTTCGTTCTTGATTAATCTAAATCAATCATTTTATAATAGATATAGATAAATATAATATATATTATTATAATACTTATTATTTAGTACTATTAGTATGACAAAAAAATATTTCAACAATATCATAAATAAATTCTAATAATATGATAAATAATATAATAATATACTAATACAATATATAAAATATATGAATAAAATATATGATATATACACAATATATGATATATACAAATGCAAATGAGAAATAAAACGGAATGAACTGGGTTTCTAGCACGTATAACCATAACGCCAGAAACTAAAGCGATGCTTGAAAAAATAGTAAAAAGTATCATTGTAGTGATTAATCTTTCTCTAGCTAGCGAGCCTACGACCTTTGTTTTTTTTCGAGTATATTAGATTGCTTTGGCTTTGAGAGATCGATCATCTGATGCGTCGGTGAAAATCCGACGAAACAGTTTGTCACATCCCCTCGTTTTCTGTCCTCTTCTCTCTCTCTGCCTACGGTTTACCGGGCAGTTCTGTTTGTGACGATATCTATATATATATATATATATATATATATATATAGTTTTATACCTAGTATACCTAAAATAAGGACGCGCGACTACTAAGCTGCGCGATTCAGAGCCTAACAAGGCTAAAAAAAATGGACACGCCGGGTATAGGACCGCAACGCAGGAGAGATGGGTCACCTATTTTATTGGGCTGTAAGATTTGACTCCATGTTGGGGCCCGACGGGGCCCGACGGCGGAGTCACGGCTAAAAGGTTGGCCTATCAGGCCTACCGGACTAAGCCATGTCGGGTAGGCTGTAAGGCATCGACCTTGAAGTAGGAGAGGCGGGGCATGCGTAGGCTGAATGGCAGGAGGCCTGTTGGGCGCACCCCTTCAAGTAGAAGGGTTGTTGTTGTAGTTTTTGTCATAGGAGCTAGCCTAGTAGATATTGTATCAGACGTAACCCCAACGGGCTCTGGGATCGACCCTAACGACATACGCATCTGCGCTAGCTCCTTTTGGGAGCTGCCAATTTCATAACCAAGTGGCGTGGTCGATCTCGACCGCTCGATCTCAAAGATCGCGCGGCCGAGATCGGGCGCGTAAAGATTAGCACGACCTCAATGTAAAGTTGATATGCAAAAATCGAGAAAGAGTTGGAACATTTGAGGAAGCGTGGTTCACACACTGTTTCTAGAATAGTACGCATTACCTCAACACTTCGTGTCCAGCTCTTGTGAGCAGCCTTCGTCCTTCGTCCTCGAGTGACTTCATAGAGGCTCGAAGAGCTATCGTTCCCCCAGCGCCTTCGTGGGAGCCTTCGTGGGATCCTGGATTAGGCGCTAGCTTCGCGCCTTCGTGGGATCCTTCGTGGGATCCTGGATTAGGCGCTAGCTTCGCGCCTTCGTGGGATCCTTCGTGGGATCCTGGATTAGGCGCTAGCATCTTATAGGCAGCAATCCATAGATTAATGTCTTTCATGAGACTGCTGAATAGGCCACTGGTCTGAAATTCATCATAGCTAGCGCTCCTTAGGTTATGAATATCGGTGCATGTCAAAGCAGAGGCCTCAGAAGTCTGGTTAGCGCCCTGCTTAGTCCCATTCGTCGAGCGTACAACACACGAAGAAGTGTTCGTCGAGCGTACAACACACGAAGAAGTGTCCTTAACTCTCAAGTATGCGACGTGCTTGGTTTCGCGGTCCAAGTCCGTCGATTTAGGCTCCTTCCCCTCTGCYGGTAGGTGCGAAGTGTGGTAGGYACTACGAGCCCTCTGCCCCATTCGAAAAGAGATTCGAATGGTTCATCGGTTCCACCGTATGCTCTCTGGGTTGAATTGAGTACGCAGTGCGCTTCTGATGCTGTTGCCACYTCGTGGCCTGGTTTCCTCAATGTCCTGGCACATACGATTTTCGACGTCGCTGTACGAGGGAAGACGTTGTGCGATCTTGTAGCGGATCGGCCTTGCCGAACACGTCCGRGCAATTATCCCACCAGCATCTCACGTTCACGAGTATTCCGTTCAGCTGCGTATCAGAGACACGGTCGGGGTTCAACCAAGGGCTGGCTATTCCCAGTGATCCCCTTTCACGACGAGCTTGAGTCTTCGCAGCGAGTTCTTTACTACGAGTATCTTCAACGGCGTTGAATAAGTCGTGTCCGTCTCGTTGTGGATTTTTATTTTTTTTTTCCGAGTCTTGTAGAACTTGAACTCGGGTCTATATTTCAACTGTTTGCAGGAGATGTCCCACAATGTGTCCGTTGGGCAAAGCCAACAGGGTATACAGAAACTAAAAAAAAATAAAACGAAATCGTCAGATGGCGGATGTCGAAGCGACAGGGTATCTGCCCTGATGGGACGAGTGTGCTGCTCGTTTTCATAGGGCAGCAGGTAAGTTTGTCATTTTTCCTTTTTCAGTTTTTTTTGATTTGCACAAAAATTAACACGATACGGCAAAAATGCGCCTATAGCACTAAACAAAATAGGTATTAGTTTCATCATTCTTGGAGTGGCAAAATTTGACGAAAACATAATTTCGTTTTTTTGTAGCATGAAAATAGAATTTGCCCAAAAATGAGTACCTAAACCAATCATCATATCTTTTGGCCATTTACCCTACAAAAAGACTTCCGAAAGCCAAAAGTACAGATGTCGAAGCAGCCAACGACTGCTTAGTTAGTCTCACCCGACCGCCGACGGATTCGTACTGCTCAAGTATGCGATGTGCTCTTTTGAGTCCATTGATTTAGGCTCATAATTCTTGAAGTGGCAAATTCTGACGAAAACATAATTTCGTTTTTTTGTAGTATGAAAATAGAGTTTGCCCAAAAATGAGTACCTCCTCACCATATCTTACAAGTGATAAAAAGTCAGACTAACTTCACAAATTTTGACAAAAATAATACTAAATAAAATAGTAGTAGCTAAAAAAGCACCACAAATTCTATGAAAAATAGAGAAAGTAGAAGTTAGTTGTGGCTTATAAATAGTAATATGAGGTGATAATGTACATTACGTTACATCAATTCGACAAATACATATATGAGACCCTAAAGGAGCAATACGACAAACATGAAGTGGCGGACGCGAACTTTCGACGTCTTAGCTATGTGGTTAGAGCAAAATGGTTGTTAAGTGCACGATTTTGACTTCTTTGTGGAGGGTGTAGTTTGAACGGTTGGATAAATAAAATAAGTCGTGCCTATCTCGCTGCGGACTACTGCAGCATCTCCTTCGCTATCGCGCTCTTGTCCTGTCGAATTCGCAGTAATCTGAATGTACTGTTGACGTAAAATTTATGTTCGTCGTCGCGAAGCAATCATCTTTCCAGGCTCGAAGAGCGAGACTTGTGAGATTTTTCGGTTCATAGCTGAAACCTTCGTCGAGTATCCAATAATGAATGCATCGATGCGGACAATCAGCAGGGAAGGAAGTCAGACCAGGATTCACAAGGCATTGTTTTCAAAGAATTATGGTAAGATGTGTGCACTTCAGACAAGACTTGGCACAAAGTCTATGAGAGAAAGGTCTGGCCAGAGCGAGCAGACGAAGTGCTTAGCCTAGAGTCCTAGACAAAACACACCTCTACCCTTTTTCCAGATATCTGCGATTCTCTTATCTGGCATCAGATCAGACGCGAAATAGGCGCGCAACGCAGCGCTGGTCTGGTTGTGTACACTGTCAGCAGGCGGGAAGGAGCCGACATCGATGGACTCGAAAGAGCACATCGCGTACTTGAGTAGTACGAATCCGTCGGCGGTCAGGAGGGGCGTATGAAACAAGCTCAATTTGTAGTAGAAGGTCAAGTCCGGTCTGCCTTGAAAAAGGTAGCAAGTAGCTAAAAGCAAAACCAAATTTCGCGAATAACATGAACAAGCGAAATTCCTCGACAAAGGGGTATTTTCTTCAGCATCAAAGATTTTATCTGGCTATATGCCGGAACCTCCGATGATCGATCTCGTAAATCCAAAGCAATCTAATATACTCGGGAAAAAACAAAGGTCGTATGCTCGCTAGCGAGAGAAAGATTCATCACTACAATGATACTTTTTTTTATGTTTTCAAACATCGCTTCGTTCCCACCAACCAGCTGCCGGAAATATTTTGGCTTACAGTTTAATTGGTTCAAACGCACCGCTCTGCGAGCATGTTACGTCGCATTCCGGATTATTCAGGCGGCGCTTCGCCTTTCATTGCGTCCTTTCTTTCCCAATGCCAAGGCATCCACCCAATGCATTATTTTGGATATAGCAGGTGCTTGTGCCTGAGCACACTACTAACACTCTATGTATCCTTACACTTTATTTCATTTTGGGTAGATAATCGATTGTATTTTATTTACTTATTGAGTTTTCTATTAATTCATCTCGAAAGAGACGTAAGAACGAACTTGCTGGTATTTGTTTGGTAATCTAGATAATTACAGACATTTTTTAGCAATGTATTATACGCCTCATGTAGATTTAGTTTTCTACAGTGTAGAACATATAATGAGAGATGTTCAAGGAGGTTGGCTACTTCGATATATGCACGCCAATGGAGCAAGTAAAAGGAAGGTGGGGATGCCGTCAAGTCCGCATGACCCTTATGGGTTGGGCTACTTTCATTTCGCTTTTTTGCAATCTTTATTATCTAGTCGAGCAAAAACTCATATAGTGATTAGGCCATTGAAAATAGCTTTTGTTTATTAACGTGCTTCTTTGATTGCACAAGAAATATGCAACAAATTGGAACAAAAAACACCATTTCGTCAAATCTGTAGATTTATTTTCCAACAAATTGAAAAATGCAAAGAACCATGGCAATACCGTGGGAAGTCGGTGGATTGTTTGCAGAAAAGAAAGCAATTCAATGAACGCGAGCGCCTTCATAGACCCCGAATGATTAACTCGAAAGAGGAGAGCATGATAGATTTCATGCTAATATGTCAGTACTCACCCAATTTCATTTCAATTGAGGATCTAGTTAGTTCTTAAGGCGAGCGGCTCGACTGACTCCTAGTCGTATTAGATCTAGCATATGAAGATGGAAAGCGTAGACGTATGACGCCGCAAGTTGACCATCGTTCTCTTAAGATAAGAAAGACCTCCTTATCTATCGATAGCGGTATGTTTGGACGTTGGTTGACCTGATAAAGAAAGCGACCGCTGTGCAACCCATCTCTGTTTGGCCTAGGCTCGCCATTTACGTGCTTACCCGCCGGCGAACGCCATCTTTCTTAGATTTTTTTTCTTTTAATTCTTCCTCATTCCCCTTTCCTTTAAACGGGCAGCATGAGTTTTGGATACCCGAACCTGGTGCTTTTGGTGCCCAAGTACGGGCGCGCATGGGAGAGGGGGGGAAGAGACTTTGTGGCTCATCGATCCTTTAGCGTTTCACGACTTGAGGCTAGAGGTGTCAGTAAGGTTACCAGATGGGTAACTAGCTTGTGGTAGCCAAGCGTTCATAACGACGTTGCTATGCTCCTTCGATGTTGGCTCTTCTTATTGTTGTGCGCGCCTGCGTCGGACGCTTTTGTTGCGGCGGATACAGGCGCACGGCCAAGGAAATGGGGTGGAAGAAGGGGCATGGAGATGGCTCCGCCCGTTCATTATAGAGAACGAGCAGCAACAGGGGAATGAAGGCCTTATTGAGTTTGACTCTAGTTCGACCCTGTGAAATGATTTGGGGGCAATGGCACTGGCCGTTTGTCTTAGAACGACGAGTTGTCCCCCCATAGGGAAAAAAAAGGGGCACTAAGTAAAAAAAAAAAAAAAAAAAAAAAAAAAGGGGGGGGGGGGGGAAAAAGGGAAAAGGAAAAAAAAAGGGGAAAAAAAAAAAAAAAAAAAAAAAAAAAAAAAAAGTGGGGGGGGGGCGGAAGAAAAGGAGAAGCGACTACGTACGTGGCCGTGTTTGTAGCTAGGTGCATAAGTAACTGTGCCTGTTCGTTGCTGAACAGGCCACAGTGTTGGTTGGGTGCAGCAATTCCCTAACGCATGCGGCCTGAGAAAAAAACAGATGCTTAGGAAAATTGGCAGACTTTGGTTTCCCTAGGGGAACATTAACGTTTGTGACCCTTGATCATGGGCGCAGATCAAAGGCCCAGACCAGTTCCATTTTTTTGGTTGTGGGCTAGGCGGCTGCCCACTGTCGTCACCTGGCTATAAAAGCCACCAACACCCACACTTCCCTCACAGTTGTTGAGGCAGTGATACTGCTCACTTGCACTTCAAGTGCAAATGAGCTCCATCACATTGTGAGGGGCGGTGCTGCCGGCGGAGGTGCCACTGGAGGAAGAAGTGGAGGTCTGCAGGATAAGGGGGGACACTGCTAAAGGAGGACAGGCCAGGGCAGCCATAACTAGGGGATGGGGGCTCTGCCCCACCCTCGTGCTGGTGCAGTGGCAGTGAGGCTGCGTCAAGGTTGGACAGTGTAGCAAGCGACAACGGTTGTCGGGGGTTACGCTGCCAAAATTTTGACTCGACGACAATTTTTTCTTAGAAAGGAGTGCTGCCATTTTTTTGGCACAGCGGCGCTGTATCAGCGTT